CTGTTTTTCTCTGTGTCTAGCCATCTGTCTCTCCATGGAGCCCAGTGATCCTGAGACATGTTAGTAAAGACTTGTCTGTCACTGCCAAGCACCTCCAGTCTTGTGCCTGGGAGTTGTATTTGTGTGAATACAACCGTGGGAGAGGAAAGAGTGAAGCCAAGCTGGGGAGAGTTAAGGGTGAGAAGAGCTCACCTTACAGAACTAAGGGATGTCCCTAGTGGTTGGAACCACTAGTGGGCTACAGTTTCTGTTTCTGGAGAAGGAATGGCCAGATTTATTTGCAATGGGATCTTGAACAAGGAAACAACCAACGTCCGAGAAGCAGTTAACTGTAGTGTGCACCATTGAAGAGGGAACAGAAGAACCCTGGACTCTCAGCTGAAGTCAGCCTCTGAGGCACTTTGCTGTGTTCTTTTCTTTCAGGACCCACCAAAAGCCCATTCAGAGCGGCTCTGCCAAGAGGCCCCATGAGCAGTTTCATCCAGAGAGGCTTCCTCTGACTTAGCTCATACATGAGGCAACTCTCACTAGAGTCTACAGAAGGTTAAATCTGAGTGTCTCGTGAAAGATGCTCTGAAAAGTGAAGGAAAGTTAGAGATTCTAGATGATTCTTACTTGGTCAGAAACATCTTCAGTCTTGATCTCCCTAAAGATATCTGAAAAGGGGATTGAAATCTGATCACCTCTGTGGAAGTTAGGGGGTGAGGACTGTTTCTTATGAACCTAGACAGCATTCCTGTTCAAGTGATTTGTGCCCTGGTGGAGCTGGGAACATTTCTGGAATCTTCCTGACCCGTTTTCACGGCTTAGAGCAGTGCAGGTGAACCCCAGGGTTAGTTATACACCCCTCCCCTCCTTTCCGAAACTCCAACTACCCTGTTACAATCCATCTAGCCTGGGCTCTGAGAAACAAGAGCTCCTCAGGTGCTCCTTACCCTTCTACAGCTTAGTGGCTAGGTGTTTCATTGTAAATCAAGAAGTTGTCAGCCCAGTTCAGCCATCTAGAATAAGTCTCACTAGCCAGGAAGCTAAAACCACCCTCAATGAGATTCTCTACTGGCCCTGTAGGAGAGGAAAGTCAAAGGGTTAGTCAAAGGATGTACCTAACTAGAAGATGCCCAGAGGGCAGCGGAGAGGGAGTCTTCTTTCTGTATTTCCTTAGGCTTATCCTCGTTGACCACTGACTGAGTCTTCCTCTGGGTCTGTTCTCAAGGATTTCCCCCACCAGGGGAATGGTGGCTCTAAAAGCCTACCAGCCACACGGCCAATCTAAAGACACCCATTAACTCCGTACACATATTTCATTAGGGAAGGCCGTGGACTGGTCTTCATTGGAAAAAGACTAGACTTTTCTCTTGAAAGAATGGGTGATGGAATAAAATTTAAAATGTCTAAGTAGATACATAAATTATACACCATAAAAACTGAGTGGGTAAAGAGGTGAATTCGAGCACAGTTACATAAATGCTGCCTTTGCTTAATTTAAGGACAGGTCATCACGAGGTTAGAATGAGGACTGGTCCAACCCAGGATCTGTTTGATAGTACTCAAAAGGAGCATATTAGTACTACTTAAAAAATAATAATTTTTTTTAAATATCCCACTTTCCCATGCTCTTTTTATTGACCCTATTGAACAGAATATTTGGGTTTCTTCCCTTTCACTTCCAGAACCCACATCAAGCCAGTTCCTAAAAGACCATTAGGCCATCTCCTTCATCTCTAACCCCAAGCATAATCTTAGCAAGAGTTTAGGGATCCAGCTCACCTCTAATCCAAAAGATGTCAACCCAGGAAAATGGTTCATCTATGTAACAGAATCGGCCAGCCCACACTGCTAAAGGACATTTGTGAGTAAACAAAAAAAACCTGCTGAATCAGTTCAATTAAGTGTCACTGGTCAGCGACAGAAGAATTAGGTTTTCTGGGGGTACTGGCCTTTTGGTGCAATGGTTTATGAGATTTCATCGTTCGTGAATTTCAGCTTAATAGAAGATTTTCAAATCCCACTTTGCATTGGGTAAAAGAACTGAATGGAAACTTAGAAAATAGTATGAAGAGACATATAGAATCAGAACTAAAAGAAAGTAAAGAATATCTGGCTTACTGTACAATATAGAAAGCCAAGGCTCAGAAAACAAAATGACTTGTTGAAAGTCATACAGTGATAAAAGAGCTGGGACCAGAACACAAGTCCCTTGGCTACAAATCTAATGTTCTTTCTACTACATCCACTGCTTCTCAGAGTGATAACACTTCCAAGAAGGCCTATCCAAGAACCCATGCTGTAATTATAAACATGGTTGTTGCTGGTAACTGCTGTCGAGTTGGGTTCAACTCATAGCAACCCTGTATAGGGTTTCCAAGGAGTGGCTGATGAGTTTGAACCACCAATCTTGTAATCTAGTGCTTTATTCCACAACGCCACACCAAGACTCCAATTATAAACATAGTCTTATGTGAATGCCTAGAACACTTGGGCCCAGCACTTGGAAAACCTTACTAATAAAAAACTTGGAAAACTTGGACAACTGTACTAATAAAACAATATTTGGAAATGAAATGACCATTTCCTGCATAGAAGCAGCTATGGGCTATCAGTTCTGTTGGAAATATATGAACAAGTTGTCTTTGAGGCAATTCCAACTCATAGCAATCCCATGTCGGGTACAACTATTCTCCATGAGGTTTTCAATAACTGGTTTTTCAGAAGTAGATTACCACGTCTTTCTCTCTAGGCACCTGTGGTTAGACTTGAACCTCCAACCTTTTGGCCATCAACTTGAGCACATTAACTATTAGCACCACCCAGGGACTAGTGAGTAGTCAGGACTAGTGAACAAGTGACTAGTCAGGGTTTTTCAACCAACCATTGCATCTTCTCAATGAAGAGGGGGCTAGGACAGTAACATTTCAAAGCATACTATTAGCTTTTATAGTCCTTTTAATATTCTCTACAACCTTCTAATGATAGTAGGTCTAGTAAAATAAAATCCTTAACTGACAGAAAGGAAAGCAGGCACAAAGCTATGTGACTTATCCAAGTTCACATGGCAAGTTAATGGAGAAGTGATTATAATCCAGGGCTTGGACATCTCCTGAGGTTTTACCTCCCCGTCATGTTGCATTACTCTGAGGCTTGCTTATGTTTTTAATTCCTAGATTTCTAGGGTGGTGGACTAGGGGGGAAAGCATTGCATTCAGAACAGTCCTGAGCCAGTATCTCCAGAAGCAATCTCTATATTATTTCTGCTCCTTCCCTTGTTTTCAAGTGCCAAGCTTGGGACTAACTACAGAAGACTCTTGTTTGAAAGACTAGAGATTCTCATTAGCAGATGAACACATGATTATTCAGGAGGGAAACACTGATAATTGGTCTTCAATCACACAGGAAGATAAAGTCAGCAAGCATTCCAAGAAAGTTCAACTCTACCCACAGGTGGTGCCTAGGGAGCAGAAAGCCTCATCTTTCTTCCACAGAGAAGCTTGTGGGTTCGAACTGCCAACCTTGTAGTTCACAGTCCAATGCTTATCCTACAGAGTCACAGTGTTCCCTAAGGTCAGCAAGTTAAGTGCCATTGAGTTGATTCCGACCCATAGCAACTCTGTATAGGGTTTCCGAGGAGCACCTGGTGAGTTTGAACTGTCAACTTTGCGGTTCAGAGCAACTTTGCAGTCCAGTGCGTTAACCCACAGTACCACACCAGGTCAGTGAGTAGGAAAGTGAAATTAGGATACAGAATTTAGATAAAAATTAAAGTGGACAGTTAATGCTGATCCGTAATTAAAAGTCAACCGTGAAGTGACTGAGGTACTTTACCCAATTTTCAAATTATGATTCCAGGAGTTCAGGAAGTCACTAATGTGTTAGTATATAGGCAGGGTAAGTGCACCTTGAAACAATCAGCCTATTTTTTTTCCTTGTCTGTTGTTTTTCTGTTTTAACTTTTCAGAGGTAGTGGTTGAAATTGAGTTAAAACTAGGTTTGAGGTTACTAAAGAATTCTAGTGATCCAGGCTCAGTTATCAGGTAACTAGAAAGCAGAGAGATCCCAACACTGTTCATCTAAGGCAATATTCATTTCGCTTTGAAACTAAGTTGGTATGGTAACCATGACAAACAGGAACCTGAAAGGCTTTATTTTTCCTAATCTCCTTATGAATTCTCATTTGAAAAGTTTTAAAACGACGGA